GTTCAGTTCACGTTCGCCCAAAATAAGAACGAGTTCATGAACTTTCGTTCAATGAACGCGTTCAGGCACAACACTGCATGTGACATATACTTTCTTTTGTCGGGTTTAGATTTTGTCAAATCTTTTTTGAATATTAGTTTTAATTAAATTCCATTCAGTTTATTTCTATAGTGCCAATTCACAGCACGTCATCTCAATGCACTTTATAGTTCACCAGATCATACAGTCGAATTGATTCAAAGTTTTTTATCTAAGGAAAACCAGTTGATTGCATCGACTCATTGACTCAAATGCAATTCACACTAAGCATGCTTGTAGCGACAGTGGAAAGGAAAAACTCCCTTTTAACAGGAAGAAACCTCCAGCAGAACCAGGCTCAGTGTGAGCGGCCATCTGCAGAGGCCGACTGGGGTTCAAGGAGACAGAAACAGAAGCGGAAACACACAGCAAGGCAGACGAGCTCCGAGCCAGCTCCCATGTCAGAGGATGAAGAGAGCCAGTCACAGTCAGAGAAACGGGACTACACTGGAAAAAACAGGCCGATCTCCAACATCTATAAACAAAGGAATTGGTGGCAGCAGCACAGCTGATATTTCTCTCCAGGATGAAGTCACAGCCAAACAGGAACAGATGAGGCAAAGCTACTATGAGAAAAAGCAGAGAGAGCAGAACGTTAGAGATTGAACTAATAGATTCTGCAGAGTGGGAGAATAGAGATAGAATGAAGCAGAATGATAAAGGAGGGTTTCTATGTCCTCCAGAAGTCTTTTATCTTCCTCTAAGGACTGACTGAGTGATTAAATGAGAGGAATTATCACCCATGTCTATAGCTCAACGCTTTATGACAAAAGATACGACCCAGGGACGCTTTGGTCGGGTCTTCTAGCCAAAATGAAATTTGGAAGAAAGTCCCAGTAAGGATAGCTGTATATGACTGGGTTTGTGTGTGTGTTTGTGTGTCGAACCTTCTTATTGATCTTCACACTCTTTGAAGATGAGTCAAAGGGACGGCTTGCAGTCCCCCTTGTTTATTGACTGGCTTGCTGTGGTTGACTTGTGGATGAAATGGAGACAGAATTGGTAATGTGGCCAGAGTTCTTATCGATTCCTTTTTGTTCTGAAGAGAATCTGCCATACTAGAAACTCTGGCTGTTAGCTGTTACAGTGTGTCTGGTATTCGCTCCCTTGAATTATTGATTCCTTTGGACTTTTTTGTGTATCTGTGAAGAACCTTTGAAAATAAGGCAAAGCATGTGCTTTCTTTCATTAAGTCTCTATCTCTGTCAAAGGTCAAAAAGAACGAAAAAAAAAAATTGCCCAAATGAAATAAGTTTTTTTTTTTTACCTTTTAACTGCAACAATGTTTTTTTTAACCTTCATTTTTAAGAGTTTGCTTGTAGCTTATTTAGTCGCACTAGGTCAGGACTGGATCAACACTTCTGTACAAGAACATATAAGTGCATCCATTTATTTTCTGAAAACACCTTCAGCAATATCTATCTATATATGTACACATTATAACGGCTTACATAAGTATTCATACCCTTTGAACTTTTTCACAAAGTTGTATACATCTAGAGCAGGGACAACCGCAAAATTTTCAAAGCCATATTGGATCAAAAAAAAAAAAGAAAGAAAAATTTAAAAGGCTTATATAAGCCTCTTATGGGCTCTAAGTGTATATTAGCTCACTATCAAATTGAGTAAGTAGGCTTAAATACGTAAAAATCATTCATGATTAAATTATTATTTCCCCTGCAACACACCCTGGAGAAAATAACATAATGTTACTAATCTGCTGTATGGTATTTGAGTTTTAAGTTAAGATTCTATTACACTATCAATGTATTTTGTTTTCGTTAATCGATGGAATTATAAAAATACGATAAAGAATTTTTATTTTGAGGATATGCAATATGCATAATAGGACTCCTGTAATTTCAAACCTCCACGTGGAAATAAAATGCAGTCCTCTGAAAACTACAGTAACAATCCTTTTTCCCCCCTTATCGGGGCGACAGTGAAATAAAACACAGCCTGTATCAGCAGCCTTTTGATAAGGTAACAAAAATCAGCCAGTATAATTTAAAGAAAAAGTCCGATCAGCAAGGAATAATCAGTGGATCATTATTTATACCTAAAACTAATACATTCGGGGTGATTTAATTAATTTAGCCCTAATCAGTTAAAAAATGACAACAATAATTTTCGCTATGATCACTGAGTCAAAAAAGCCATCTTTACCCAAATATAGTAACCCCTCCCTCCTGCCATCTTCCAGCAGTGACGTCACGGTGCGGTAAGCCTAGCGCCATTCTTCCCGCTTTACAAGCAAAATCAATGGGAACTACTAGACACATCTGCAATCAACAACAATTATTGAAGATTTCCAGAGGACTTCACCATTGAAATTCACCAGAGCTATGGTTACTGGACCATTAGCCATTCACTGCACTTTTGTGCAGTGAATTACTAATGGTAGTTTCCCAGTAGACAGATTTTCCCCTCATCATGGGTGTCTTGGCTGCATCTCTGATCAGTGCTCTTCTTGTTTGGGCTGTAAGTTTGGGTGGAATGACTTGTCATTGTAGATTTACAGCCGTCTCAAACTCTTTCCAGTTCCAGATGATGGACTGATAGTTCTCCCTGAGACGTTTAAAGCTTGGAAATCTTTTTATAGCGTCAACTGGGTTTAAACGTCTCTGCAACTTATTTGAACTGAGATTAGATCGCCCACAGGTGGGCTCTCTTTAATCATTAGCAATCACTTCTAAAAGCAATGGGCTTTATGCACAACTCATCTACTTCCTGAACTTAAGGCAGCTCATTTGTTTTCTGTCTTTCTCCATTGGATCATCTGATTAATCCAGGGGTGCCTGACTTCAGTAAGAATGGCCAGACATACTTGGATTAATTAGTTAATCCAGTAAAATAAATCAGGAAACAAAGGAGCTGCACTGCAAAAATGGAAATCTAAATAAGTCATTTTTTCTTAAACTAAGTGCATTTGTTCTTGAATTGAGGAGGTAAGTGAGATACTTTGCCAATGGAACAAGACAATTTACATTTAAAATAAGAAAAAGCAACCGCATTGTCTTATTTCAAGTGGATATTATCTAATAATCTTATTTTAAGAGTAAAAATACTCATTCCATTTGCAAATCATCCCATTTACCTACTAAAAAGAATGGTAAATACGCTTGATTTAAGACATTTTAACTTATTTCTAGACCATTTTTGCAGTGAGGATGTAGTGGAATTGTGCATAGAGACCATCTGATGGACTCAGAGAAAAAGGGGTTGAATAATTTTCCACAGTTCAGTGGAAAAATATTGTGTTTTATGTAAAAACTGTTTTAAATCATGTATAATATTAACGTATAATCCAGCAACCTGGAAACGTACCAATCTAATTGTGGTAATGTGGCCTTTTTAAGTTTATTGCATGTATTCTAATTTTTGGATTTTCTTTATTTTTGAACTTGTTTGCTTGCTTTTTAATTTTGTGTATTGCATGTTTTTGTTTGGATTTTGTTTGGAGGCCACATTGCCACTCACACCTGGACACGCCCACAGTAACGGCACAGGTGTTCCCAATCAACCAAGCAGCGTGCCGACTGGGACGCTGATTAAAAAGGCAGCTGTTTGGTTGGGGAGACAGACCCGGACATGGGAAGGTTTGGTTGGAGAGAGACACCGGTCATGGGAAGGCTGATCTTGGAGGGAGTCGGACAGAGCGGGTGAGAGAGAAGCAGCGGGAGAGGTTTGGGGACGCGCACCGGAGCGAGGCGCAGAGACGCACGCCGGAGCGGGGTGCAGAGAGGCCCGTCATGGAGCGAGGCGCAGAGGCACGCTGGCGAGAGGCGCGTGTTGGAGGTGACCTCGCAGGCCAGCTATGCTGGAGAGGCCCACACGCGCAGCGTGCCGGAACGAGGATCCAGCGCTGGGGTGGACGGTGTCCTCCATTATACCCGCCAAGTGCGCGTCTTTTAACAGACTGGGCCATTGACTCTGCTGCTCTTCACCATCTGTATTTTTATCTTTCTTTTTATCTTTTTTTTTATTGGATTTTAATCGATTAAACTTTTTAAAGCCCTGCTCACAATCGCCGCAGTCTGTTTGGTTTTATGGGTTTTTTACTTTTTTAGATGATCGCACCTCTCGGGTGCCACATAATTATGAAATTTTTGTGTATGTAAACATAACTTCTGTCACTCCTTACGCACACTTTTTGTAACTGAAGCCAAGAAGCTTCCTGCCAGAGGGCATCTGGCCTGTTTGTGTGATCAGCTGCAGCTTTCAGGTATCAATTCCAGAATATTCAGTAATTTAGTAAAAATCTATTCTTCTGATAGAGTTATAAAAGTAGACTCCCTGTACAAAACAGATGTTAATTGTTAGAACAGAGTCATTCATCCATCTGGTCTGTTATTTTGAATGCATTTAATCCTCCGGGTAACTTTATGGAGAAAATTTCTACTTAAATCAACATTTGAACCTGTTTTGATCAGTTTTTGCACAAAATAAAAGCTACTACAAGTATAGATATATATACACACACACACCGAGTAAAACAGCAGTTTACAAAGTCTGAACTTTAGTAAACAACAGAACAAAGAGTGAATAGGGAGCTCTGAACCAGAGCAGATCACACGCTGTAATATCAAGTCTTTTTCTCCAGCCATCTGGCGGTAACATCCAAATTTAGATGCAAGCCCAGCTCGTCTTCCTCCCTGCTACGTCCATAAGGTGGTTTTAGTTCCAGGAAAAGATGGGACCGAGACGTGAAATTTATTAACATCTATTTATCTCCAAAGCTTTCATGAAGGAAAAAAAAAAAACTAAATTCATGCTTATCTCAAGCTCGGGCTGGACGCTCAAGTCTTCTTTTCTCTCAGTAAACTTTTATCTCTGCGTATGCCAGTCAAAGCTTTATAACTGAACTTGTTAGTCGATTTTTTTTTTTTTTCTGTCTGATTTCTCTGTCTTCGACTTCACAGAGTTCCTGAGAGAGGAAGTGGTTGTTCTCCTCACAGCCCAGTTCATCACTCTATTCAACCAGACAGCGCTGGAGGTGAGAGCAGTATCCATGTACATCGATCAGCCAAAGTTTCCAAACGTCCTGCTCAGTTCTGCTCTCTTTACTCAGGGCTAAATCAGAAGTGAATCCCTCTGTGGAAAGACTCAAAAATCTTTATTTTTCTAAATCCTTAATGCGATTAATACTTGATAAAAGTGGACTCTCCTTTTCTCAAAAGTATATGGGTGTATCGTTGGAAATAATAACTCTCATGGTTGCTTGTGTAAGAAATTAGATGAAGGAAAATTTGACCATTTAACCATTGTCCTAAAACTCTAGTATTCGTCTAACTATGAACTATGAATTGTTGGGGACACTATGTTAGATAGATAAACTTTATTCCGGACCCATGGTCCAACAAATACATACATTAAAAATAAAATAGTTAATGATAAAAACACAAGGATCTTTAAGAAGACAGGAATACCAGTGTCTCCACAGCTTAGACTGATATCGGATTGCACTACGTGTGGTATCAGTAAGTGACAAAATAATATAGTTTTCAGATGCATTTAACCTACAAATAAACTTATACATTAACTTTCGTAAAACAGCTTGTAGGGTATTGACTCTTGCTGTGACAAACATCTCACTTGCACTGGACCATCTTGGACGTTTCAACAGTAACCACATAGCATCATTATAGGCCACCTGCAGCCTTTGCAGGTTGACTTTTCTGTATGTAGTCCACAGGTGAGCAGTGTACAGAGAGGTACAATATGCATTAAACAGTTCCACTTTGACTTTATCAGTACATGAACCGAATTTACGAGCAAGGGTATTAGCTTGAGCATACAACAATCTACATTGTCTACAAATATCATCGTTTGACAGATTTTCTGTGATGATGTGCCCAACATACTTGGTTTTGCTTTTTGTTTTTATATTTTTCAGCAAACTATATTGTTTGCTGAAAAATAAAAAAAATTGTAACAATTGAGCAAAAAAAAGTATAACTTCGTCAAAATCTAAAGTAGGAACAGTGTTGGGCACGTTACTTTGAAAAAGTAATTAGTTATAGTTACTAGTTACTTCTCCCAAGAAGTAACTGAGTTACTAACTGAGTTACTCCACAATAAAAGTAACTAGTTACTTGTAAAAGTAACTATTGCGTTACTTTTGCGTTTCTTGCCCCCGTAACCCTCACCACCCAGCCCCCACCTTCTCGCCATGTGTTTCCAAAGCCAGCTGAATAGAGCGGACGACAAAGACAAGAACCTGCAGAGAGTTTAGCATTTATTGCAACTCAACGTAAATGACATCAGGGGGGAACGCGATGTAAAGGTTTTTAACAGGGCATTCAGATCTGGCGAGTATATGAAATTAATAACTGGGGATGTCTAATTCTGAAATCCTGTGTGTTTGGGCTGTTATAGATACTGCAACATCTATCTATCATCTATCTATCTAGATGTATACTCTGTGTGTGACATAAAATATGGATCTCCATCCCTGCCACAAAGGCCATCAAATAATGTTTAAAATAAAAAATACAGTAGGTTGAGAAGGCAGAGTATCCATCCATCCATCCATCCAGATTTCTCCCTTTCTCCATATAGGCTATCAGTTGATCATTCACGCTGTCCATAGTTCTCCTGTGGCACGAGCACAGGGCGACTGCTGCGCGCCTTTAGCGAGCATGCGCGTTTCCTGCGGAGATTCGTGCCGCCTGCGCTGTGCGGAGATGCAGAGGAAACCGTATTTTATGGGGAAACGCAGCTCGACGTAACATCGGTATTTCCGTCTGGAAAACGCTGTTTTGCTGCTGCAGTCATCCTCACTCTCCATCTCTCTGTGTGTGCTGTACGTTAACACCCACCAGCAGAAACACCCACCTACCCAACTGACAGACGGAATCTCACTATACATCAGCCATTCTCATCCTCCCCTCTCTCATGACAAGGTGTGCACGAGTCCTATCATGAAAAATAGGTTCATTGTTGCGACCTGAGTAACGGGCAGTAACGGGGTGTCTGCAATGGTAACTGCGTTATAGTTACAGTCAAAGTAATTATTTAGATTACTCGTTACTAAAACAAAGTAACAGCGTTAGTAACGCTGTTACTTTAAACGCCGTTAGTCCCATCACTGAGTAGGAAGATGAACTCATGTGATTTTCCAAATATAAAAAAGTACACCTGATATTTTGAATTCTGGAGGTAGCACAAACCTATCAGAAGATTAGTTCCAAGTGAGAATAATTTAGATTAAAAAGATTTTTCCTGAAATGCTTTGCAAAGGGGAGAACAGTATCAATCTCTGCATCTCCGCTTGGCTCAACACTTGCCAGGCTTTTTATTGAGCAGTCAACACATTACAACAGCAGGCGTTAGTTTCAATTACGCATCTCTTAGACATAGCAGGAACTTTTACGATAGGGAACTTGCCTGGTTTCAGCATACGCTTTAAACAAGGTGTCGGGGTTATGAACTTCCACTTCTGTGCTTCTCAAATGAAAAACAGGAAAGCATTCTTGCAAAACATTTGAATGTCTTATGGTCTTCATACACTATTTCCAATGATGAGAGTAACATAAAACATATAAATGAATAAAATGATAAAAATAACAGAAATCATAATAACTCCAACAAGTCTATGCCCACCATTAGTTTAAACACATCACTGCAGTGGCAAAAATAGCTGTTTTGAAGCGCTCTGAAATAATAAACTCCAGAAACTACGACAAGAGTTCTGCACAAGACGACTGTTCTGACTGAATGATCACTTTTTCCTCTCTCGTCTGAGTCTCACGCTGTCTGGTCACTGTCAGTCAAAAATCATAACGCAGTGTTCTGCTGATTCATTCTTAATAATCACATCAAGCACATTTTAGAACATACTTGTTGCAGTGAAGTTTTGCCTCCCTAGTATTCAAAGAGAAATCACCACTGATGGAAATTCTACACCGGCTTTCAAAAGCACAGAGAAGGGAAGTAACGAAGTACAAATACTTCGTTACTGTACTCAAGTAGATTTTTCTGATATTTTTACTTTACTTTACTACTTATTTTTATGGCGACTTTTTACTTCTACTCCTTACATTTTTACACAAATATCTGTACTTTCTACTCCTTACATTTTTAAAAATTGGTTCGTTACTTTAGTTTTGAATCATTTCAATGGAGTTACCGTTATTATTTTTCACGTCATCAATACCAAATTCAATCTAATTGGATGGGAATCTACGTTGCATTTGACGCACCACTACAAGATGAATCGACAGATTCGGCGGTATTCATTCGCGGCAAATATTTGCAGCTTGGGGGCGGTGGCGTTAGCATAGTAGCATGGAGGACGAGATGATTGAAAATGAACACAACGGAGATCTAGTCCTATTGGCAGACATCCATTTAAAATGTAGGCAACGGCATGAAAAAAGTGGTTTCTACTTTTACTTTTATACTTTAAGTAAATTTACAAGCCTGTACTTTGTTACTTTTACTTGAGTAAAGAAGTTTAATCAGTACTTCCACTTTTACCAGAGTATTTTTTAACACAAGTATCTGTACTTTTACTCAAGTACGGAAAGTTAGTACTTTTGCCATCTCTGCAAAAGCAGCAGCTTTTTTCGTGGCAAAGGAAAAGGAACTGTGAATATATAGCTAGAATGTGTCATGATGTTACGAAGTACTAACCCAAAAATGCAGAAAACCGAACAGAGGGACCAGGGGAAAGGTTTAACGGGTTTTATTGAAGAAGTAAAACAAAGAGGGAAGTGTTGCTCTGAACACTGCTCAACCGGAACTGCAAAGTGAGGGGAAGACACAGTGGTCAGTTCGGCCTCTGTGAGGAATAAGACTCGTGAAACTTGGAGAAGAGGATTTCTTTTCCGACTCACGTTTCTACAGAAGTTGTTGCATCCTTGACTCCTGTCTGTGTGCCGTGGTTCCAGTGTTTGTCCAGTTCGGTGGAGGGCGGAACAGGTTTTATCCAGAATGCGGTTGATTGTTGAAGAACGGAGAAACTGACTGCCTCTCAGATTTCTTGCCATACTTAAATGGGTCGTAGTGGAGAATAATCCCTTTCTCAGTGTGAAGCTCAAACGATCTCTTGGGGAAAGTGGATCCAAACCTCCTGTTTGAATCCCAGCTCAGTTTGAAGCTCAGTTGATCCTTCCAGGGTGTGAAGGTCCGAGAGATCCAGTTAGCAGGACAACTTCCTGCCAAGAGGCAAAGACAAAACAAAGTTAAACTCAGGTTGACAAAAACTCAGCTTGACTCAGCAAACTCAGCTTGGCTAGAGTACCCTAAACTGGCAAACACTCTGGCTTCCAAGTAGTGGCAGTCAGCAGCTTAAGAACACTCCGTCTAACGAGGAAACCATCAGCAGGTGTGTGAGGAGGCGGACCAGAACCAGGCGCCTCCTGGTGGGTGAAGGAAGGCAAACACAGAAAACCCAGACACAAAACAGGAGTCCTGACAGATTGATTGGTTCTTATCTTGATGCAGTGTCTCTGTTTGCATTTGTTAGGTATGTGATTGGTTAAAAGTTAAATAGTCACCTGAACATTGATTTATTTTACTAATATCTGTCTGTCTTTGACCACTCTGAGCTGTCTCTTTTCTGCAGGGCCTTGCAGAATGATCAGGTTCTCTTTAGTCTTCGTCTGGCTTATTGTTAGTTCTGCAGTGCTGCCAGCAGATGGCGCCACATCTGTTCATGTTAGTTAATTGAACACTGTGCTGGAATTCTGTTTAGGCTCGAAAAGGACCATCTAAACATCTTCTGGATGGATGGTGGCAGTATGTAACCTTATTTTATCAAGATCAAACTTTTTCTTTATGTAGAGGCATAAAACATGACTATATACCTTTAAAAGCATGATCTGGAAAAATTAATCCATGCGTTTATTTTTAGTCGAATCGATTACTGCAATGGTGTTTTCACAGGTCTGTCTAAAAAGTGGATCAGACAGCTGCAGCTGATCCAGAACGCTGCTGCCCATGTCCTCACTAAGACTAAGAAAGTAGAGCATATCACCCCAGTTCTAAAGT